TGACCCTCTTTGCTGCCCAGTTGTGACAGGGATGGTGGGGCCCTCAAAGCCGAAAGTACGTCCTGTCTGGACAATCGCAGGTGGTGGTCCTGCGATGAAGTTCTTTCCAAAGAACCGGCTGGTGGCATTAGGCGGCTCAGGTCACGTTCACTGTTTAGTCCTGTGGACACAGGGCCCAGCAGAAGGAACACCTGGCGGGGTGAGCTTCGGAGGGTGAGCGAATGGGCGCAATAATTTATAGTTTCGATTTGAACGTGTCATCTGAACGTCCCGAGGTGGGCCTGACTGTGATGTTGTTGTTACGGAATTACGTGCTTATGATTTTGTAATAAAAGATTTTGTCATAAAAATGGGTGTTCTTTGTGCCGGACCCTGTCTGGTATTTGTTCGGTTCGGTACATCTTTATCAACGGCCCCCCTCCCAGAAAAGGCCGGGTCCGCCTGCGGGGATGTCCGTTCCGGGAGGACCCACGGCGCCCCGGCGAAGCATGCTGGCTGCCGCCCCTTTGGACCCGTGCCGCCACGCGGGGAGCGTTCAGTTCTTCGGCCGCGCCCCCGTTCCATTCCCAAACGGGGTCCCAGCCAGGCGGCAGGTCCGGGACGGTCACCCGATTTCCCACCTCCCGCAGCGGAAAGGACCCCCAGGACCTTGGCCGTCCCGGGACCTGGGAGGCCCGGCTGCGCGCTCCGCTTCCGGCTTTATCTCGATCTGGAGGCTGGCGCAACCCACAGGTAAATTACAAGCCACTGCGAAGGTTCCCACCAGCCCTCTGGCCTCGGGCGCTTTCATCTGGGCTCCCACTCTGAGGCCCTCGTCTCCGCCAGGGTGCGGTGGCCGCGGGCCAGGCCCAGGCGGCCGGCACCTGGACGCATTTTCCATTGGAGCCGCAGAGATGAACGTTCCCGCTGCGGCAGATTTTCCATGGCAGCCCTGCCCCGTGAGACGCGGCCCCGGGCCAGCTGCTTGAGAGGCTCTCTCCTGCCTGCTCCAGCCTGGGGTGGGAAACAGCGAGGCTCAGGTGGCTTCTGTTTATTGGAAAGGAACCTTCAGTTAAACTGGAAACACCACACCCTTTGAGGACTATTTTCCTTCATGTTTTGTTTTTGCTTTTTCAGTGCCGAGTGCCCACAAGCTCTGGGCACTGAAACCACAGTTTCAGGACAGGATTTCAAAGGAAGAGGCCATCACATTTCTCCTGGTTGGCTGACAGCACAAGAATGTTTTGCCTGAGGCCCTCCCAGGAGAAAAGAAGTTATTCTCTAGTCATAAAAATGATAAAAAGAAAAGAAACAAACCCCCAAACAATGGGAAGTCTCTTCTTCAATACACTGGAGCGTCTTTAAATGAAACAGTGGCGTGTCCTACGTGGGCTGGAGTGGGACGGGGGAGGGGCCCACGGCTCAGAACCCTCCCGCGTGGCAGCCGCGGTCCACACTGAGCTGGAAAGAGGCCCACGGAGGAGGCTCTGAGCCGTCCCCCTCGGCTTCGGCGCGCCAGAAACCGGCCCCGTGCTCGGCGTCCTGCCTGTCACATTGGGCCCCGGGGGGCGCGGGGAAGCCGCTGGTGCCCCTCCACGTGGAAGGGCAGCCTCAGAGGCTGCGACGTCACCCAGGACACGGTCGGACCCTCCCCACCAGCCCAAGATAATAACACCGAGCACCGTGTTCAGTCTTCCGGGGTTTCCAGTGTAAAAAATCAGTTAATTAACGATTATTACCTGTGTGAGGTAAGCGGAGATGATTATTATCCTAATTTTACAGACAGAGTAAATGAGAGTGGTGGAGGTGCCAGGAGAAAAATTAAAATTAACGAGGTCCTGGATCACAGGCCTGAGTGGCAAGGACTTTAAAGAGCTTGCTCATAAAAAAAGAAACAACAAAAACACAAACAAAAAAACCAAACAACCCAACCTGTACAGTGAAACTTGAATATTGCAAAACAGACTTTCCAAATTAAAAATGTTCGATTTATTAATGAAACCAGTGGCGGGATCCTGTTTTTCATTTATGAGTGGAAACCGCTAGCTTCTCTGACTTCATGCCTGCCCGTCCGTCTGTGGTGACTGGCCCCCAGCTTTGGATGAGGGGGTTCCAGGTTTTCGTGGGTCTTCACTCTTCAAATTGTATTCCTTGTTTTTTTTTCTTTCTTAGGAGTAACCAAGGGCCTCTAATGCTTTAGAAACCTGTCCTAGAAATGCGTTTGGACTGTGACACTCTGGGTCAATTGCTTTCGGCGAAAGTCCACCGCGAGCCAGCGTCCAGCATGGCAGGATTCTGCTCAAATTTAAAGGTTTGACCCACTTTAGAAACTGCACCGTCGTGTGATTTAGCTCGAGGAGGAGGGTCTGTGGTTGCACAAGTCATTTTGGATGCATCTATTAAAAAGAGCTTTTTGTTGCCTTCTCACACGCGTTTTCCCTTTGCCTCAAGCCAGTGCGCCAGGGACGGGGGGAGGGTGACTGGCGTTGTGGGGGCGGCCTCCTCCCGGAAGGCGGGTGCCCGTGTGCTTCGCCCGGCGCCCTTCCTCTCTGGGGTCTGAGACCGTCCCCCGCCCCTGGCCCAGGAACAGGCGAGTGCCCCAAAGCAGGGCCTGCACTGCAGCTACCGGGACAAGGAGGCTCTTTCGAGTGGGCTGGGCGAGCCAGTGGGGTGCAGCCGCGCAGGCCCCTGGGGAGGAAGCCGCGCAGAGGGCAGCGGGCAGGTTCACGGGGTCGTCTACGCGTCCGTGTGAACACCCGCGGCCGAGCGTCCGTAGCGTGTTTGTCCCTAGCTGTTGTGGGCACACGCTGAGGAGGGGGATTGCTGGGCCCTGCGGTCAGGCCCCACGGCACGTGCTGAGCGACGGCCAGGCCGGGGGGCAGTGAGGCGGCCGCTGGCAGTCCCCCAGCCGCGTGAGAGGGTTCCAACTTCTCCGAGTCCCTGCCAGCCTTCCTCGGTCAGTCTGTCTGTCTGTCTGTCTGACTTTCACTGTCCTAGTGGGTGTGAAGTGGGGCCTCGTGCGAAGTCTGCTGGTCACAAGCAGGCCGTGACCCGGCCGCTCCTGCGGGAGTTGGTTGTGCAGAACTCAGCATAGACCCTGTTTTGGGAACAGTGTCGTAAGTGCTGGTGCGACCTGCCAACCAGCTGCCCTGGGATTCCGGCTCCTCATGCAGGGGTGGCGACCTGGGATTGGGCCCCCGAGCCGAGCTGGCCTGGAGCAGGAACGGGAGGCTGTCCCTGGCCAATGTGAGGCATCACGTGGGCGCGATGCCACCGCTCTGCGATGGAGCTAGGCCTGAGCAAACCGTGCCCCCAGCACTGGCCCGGCCGTCCAAAGTCCTGCCCTGCGAGCCCCGGCTCCCCCCGCCCCCGCCAGGCTCTGCTCTCCCCTCCTCGCCTGTCTTGGGTCCTGGGCCCGCTCCAGCGGAACGAGCGCTCCCCCCTCCCCGACCCGCTCCCCGGGCCTGGACTGACCACCCTCCTGGGAATGGGCTGCTCTACTTGCCCAGTCCCCTGTCTGTTAAATTCAGCCACTAAAAAATATGCTGACATTCTAGGAGGTTTTTTTTCCCCCGATACTAAAATTAACCAGCGAGGAGTGGCTCAGACAGACTGTCCTTTGCCTGAGGAGGCCCAGGCCGCCCCATCACCCCACTCTGTGGCCTCAGCTTCATCCGCTTCGGGTAGGGGTGAGAGGGGCATCTCTTAGAGAAGCCGCGCCCACGTGAGCACTAACCTGCACGGGGGGCTGGGCTTGCGGCTTGGAACCAGCTTGGTCTGAAGACTCGCCCACTGATGTCCACACCCCTTTGCTGGAAGGACGTGTTTCCTACCCACCCGCCCAGACCCTGCCAGTGGCTTCACAGACACACCCAGGGAGGGCTCCTGCCAAGCGCGCCCGCTGCGCCAGGGCCAGTGCGTTACGCCGCACGCGCCCCCCCACCCCCCCCCCTCAGAGGAGTGGGTGGTTGGAGGGTCAAAAGATAGTTCCCCCCCCCCACATGGACAGCAAGGGGCCACCAACGCGGATTAAGGGGCACTGTCCAGTGACAGCTTCTTAAAAGTCAGTGCCAAACAAGTGACCCCCAAACAGCAAAACAGCAAAGGCGGGGGGCTGCGCAGCCACAGAAGGGGCGCAGCCAGAGCAAAGGGGCAGCGCGGATGCTGCTTCCAGGCCCGGAGCTGCGCGGAGCTCGGAGTCCACTTCCCGCCTCACTTAGGTCACCCGGCCGCGGAGGTGAATCCCCCCACCGTCTTCCTTCAACGCCCAGGGGCGTTGCTCCAGGCGCCGGGAGCGCACCGCCCTGGTCGCAAAGGCCCAGGTTCGAGGACGCTCCAGCCCGAATTTGGGCCAGCAGCGTCAGCGACTCCTAGAGACGCTGCGGACACGCCGGGTCACCGCTGCCCCCGCGCTACAGTCTGAGAATCTCTGCCGCACACGACCCCGCAGGGCTCCTTTCGCCTCGTCCCAGCCTGAGCTTCCCACATGGTCGCGTCAGGTGGGGACCAGGCCGCGGACCGGGGCGCAGGGCCGGCGCTGGGGCCAAGGGCTCCCAACTGTCCCGGCCGGATTCCGCAGCGACCGTAAGTGCGGGCGTAGCGGCCCCAGCGGTTTCCCGGCCGCCGCCGGCCGCGGGGCGGGGGTGGGGAGGGGGCGGGGGCGGGGCGGGAGGCGGACTACAGGGCGGGCGGTGGTCCCGGAAGGGGCTCCGCGACGCCGGGCGGGCGGGGCGACGGCAGCCGCGGCTCCGGGATCCGCGAGCCTCTCTCGCTGGAATTTGCCTCCGGAAGCGAAGAGCGCGAGCGAGCGAGAGGCATCCCCGGAGAGGAGGCTGCCGGCTGCCGGCTGCGTCGCGGGGGCGCGGCCTCTCGGCGACCCCGGGGCCTCCCCGGCGCGGCGGGCGGGCCGGGCGGGCCAGGCGGGCGGCGCCGGCGGGATGTGCGTGCGCTCGCGCTCGCGCAAATACGGCGGAGGAGCCCGGGGCCTTTTCCGAGAAGTCTGCCGAGTTGGGCTCAGTCCGCGGAGAGCGCGCGCGCGGCCGGGTCTGCGCTCCTTGCAGGGCGGGCGGCAGGGAGGGCGCCGCTCGGCGGCGACCCCGGCCCGGCCCCACCATGGGCTTCGAGCTGGACCGCTTCGATGGCGACGTGGACCCGGACCTGAAGTGCGCGCTGTGCCGCAAGGTGCTGGAGGACCCGCTGACCACGCCGTGCGGCCACGTCTTCTGCGCGGGCTGCGTGCTGCCCTGGGTGGTGCAGGAGGGCAGCTGCCCCGCGCGCTGCCGCGGCCGCCTGTCGGCCAAGGAGCTCAACCACGTGCTGCCTCTGAAGCGCCTCATCCTCAAACTGGACATTAAGTGCGCGCACGCCGCGCGGGGCTGCGCCCGAGTGGTCAAGCTGCAGGAGCTGCCGGAGCACCTGGAGCGTTGCGACTTCGCCCCCGCGCGCTGCCGCCACGCGGGGTGCGCCCAGGTGCTGCTGCGCCGCGATCTGGAGGCGCACATGCGGGATGCGTGCGACGCGAGACCCGTGGGCCGCTGCCAGGAGGGCTGCGGGCTGCCCCTGACACGCGGGGAGCTGCGCGCGGGCGGCCACTGCTGCGCGCGGGCCCTGCGGGCGCACAACGGCGCGCTGCAGGCCCGGCTCGCCGCCTTGCACAAGGCGCTCAAGAAGGAGGCGCTGCGCGCGGGCAAGCGCGAGAAGTCGCTGGTGGCGCAGCTGGCCGCGGCGCAGCTGGAGCTGCAAATGACCGCCCTGCGCTACCAAAAGAAGTTCACCGAGTACAGTGCGCGCCTCGACTCGCTTAGCCGCTGCGTGGCCGCGCCGGCTGGCAGCAAGGTAAGCGCGTGCCAGACCCCCGTCCCAGGCCCCGGGGACCCAGGGCACCTCCCCATCTCGTCCCTGGGGCACTGGGATGCCACGAGCTTCCCAGAAGCATCCCCGCCTCCCCCTCCTCCCGCCACTTGTCAGCTGTGTCCCCGGGAACAGGGCGCTGAGTCAGCCTGAGCTTGTAAACTCAGGTCCCTCCAGATTACTAGGCACGTAGGGTGAAATACGGTACAGCGGCTTCAGGAGGCTGGAAGGACTGGAAGGGGCCCACAACCAGGGAGCGGAGCCGGCACAGGGTCCAAGGTTGGCTGCTAGACCAGCCAGGGTGCGTTGGGGGAAGCCTTCTAACCTCTTCTGAGGTGGGAAAACGTGGTCCCTACACCCGTGACCCACAGGGGACGATACTGGCGCACAGGGTGAGTTAGGACCTGCGTCCCGGCTCAGACACCTCGGAGGGGGCCCGGAGAGGGGCCTCGGCAGGGAGGGCTGGGCTTGTGCAGGGCCCGGCCGGCGCCCGCGGCTGACCTTGGGCTGCTGCTGACCGGCTCTACAGTTGGAATCCGTGCCCCCTGGCGCGGGGACGGGAGATGAAGCCCAGCCCGGCACCCCTGTGCGGCTCCTCCGGGGAGTCCAGGAAGCCTGCAAGGGGCCGACGCCGGGCCTGAAGCCGTCCTGGGGCGGAGTCCGGTGAATCTGAACTGTTTCAGGGTCCGGGCTTTGTGCTGCCCGGCTGGGTGGCCTTGTGGCTCGGTCCAGGTGCTCCAGGTTTCCGGAACGTGCAGCAGCTGCTGTCGGCCGTCAGGAGAGGAGGGCCTGGCTGGCGCTGTGCCCGGCGGGGGTGGGGGCTCCGGGCTCAAGGCCTGGCCCACGATGGTTTTCGCCCACTGAGCCCGCCCCGCAGCCTGGAGGCGGCGGGAGCCCAAGTCTGGCCTGGGTCCTGTGCTGCGCCCGGCTCAGCTGTGCCGTCCTGGTCACATGAGGCAGCTGCGATGCTTCTCGTTTTGTTGGTGAAGAAACGGGGTCTGCGGGGGGGCCGTGCTGGGCCCGGGTCCTAGCCTGTCGGTGCCAGAGTCGGGTTCTGAGCCTGCACGCGCCCCTCTCCGGCGCTCCTCGCGGCTGCCGCTGCCTCTGGGTGTGGACGCCAGGCCCCTCAGTGAGTGACGGCCTGCGCCGGCCGCCCAGGATGGCGCGTTCGTGCCTCATCAGTTTGATTCTCTGAGTCAGGCGGGCGGGCAGGCCAGAGAGGTCGCAGAACTTGCCCGAAGGCGCCCAGCAGCTCAGGGCAGAGCAGGGTCGGGTCCTGGGACCCTGGACACTTTGGCCTGTGGTCTTTGCTGTGGGGTGTTGAGCAGCGTCCCTGGCCTCGACCCGCTGGATCCCTGTCAGCATCGCCCCTCCCCCGCTCTGAGTTTTGACAACCAAAAATGTCTCCAGATATTGTCCAGGGTTCTCTGCGGGGGCGGGGGCAGGGGCGGGGGCGGGGGAGGGGTTGCCCCCTGGGAGCCAGGGTTTCCTGATGGCGGAGGCCATGCTTTCCGTAGCGGGGACAGTGAGCTGGGGCTCCGCTCTCTGGTCGCCTGTCCTGCGGCTCCGCCAAGGGGAGCGTGTCTGCCCTGCGGGCCCCAGGCCAGCGTCTGCCTCCCCCGCCCCGCGTCTCCCAGCCCCCTCCGCGGCCCACACCAGGCCGCAGGCTTCCCCCTCTGCCGGCCCCGCCTGACTGTCAGCTGCGGCCCCAGCAGCTGGCCGAGCTGGGCGCAGGGCAAATATTTACAGCGCCGAGCTCCCCGGGGGGCACAGGCTGCAGAGGCCCTGGGAGACCTGAGCCGCCCCCGGGGCAGAGCCCGGCCCGCAAGCGGCGCCGGTTCCGGGCGCAGGAGACCCGCGCTTCGGCCGTTCCTGGCGTGACCTGGCCGCCTGCGCAGTTTCCAGTGACGCGTGTTTATAAATAAGCCCTTCACTCCCCGGGTTTGACGGCCGCTCATTGTGAGGCCTGTTTGTTATTTTTCGTGCCTTTCTGTTTTCTTTCTGGGGTGTTTGGGTGAATTCTCTCTGAACCAAAAATACGGCACTTGAATCAAAACTGGATGCTTTTGATGCTCTGAGCAGCGGGGGTGTTCAGCCCGGGCACAAGACGTCGCTTTCGGGGCTCACAGACGCTCTGCCCCTCAGGCCCGCGAACGCCCCGGCTCTGCTGGCTCCTCCTTTGGCCTCAGCCCCTGGGCCCCGGCCAGGCCCGCGGAGCCGCTCTGGCCCTGGTTAACCCTCAGCGGCCCTTGCTGCTCCTGCTCAGGCTGCTGAAGGGCTTGTTTACTTCCTCGGGGGGGCTCTGCCGCACTGGATGCGGTGTGTTTTCCCCAGGCCGGAGGGGCTGGCGTCCCTCGGAAACTCCACGCGCCACAGTTTTGTTTTTCACAAGCCGTGGTGCGCACATCTCCGTCAGGGGCTGAGCTGGATACGAAACACTCGGAAGGCTGTCGGTACCAGCTCCTGCGGGCCAGGCCTCGTCCCCTGGAACGACCGGGCATCGCTGCCCGTCCCTCAGCTGCCCGGTGGCGCAGGGTTTGCGGGCGCCGGCCTCAGGCTGAGCTGGAGCCAGCTTCTCCAGCTGCCCTCCGTCGGCACCGCCCGGAGACATTGTTAACACGGACGCCCGCACCTGGCTCCGAGGTTCGGACCCGCTTGGGGCGCGGCCTGTGTCTGGGACGGCTCCAGGGGAGGCCCGTCCGCCCGCCGCACTTCGCGGCCCCTCAGCGCGTGGAGGGCGGGCTCCGGACGGGCACGTGCGGGGTAGGCCCCCTCGTGGCGTCTGTGTCGCCACGGCCCTTGCCAAGTGCCCGAAGGGAGAGCAGGCCGCGCGCCAGAGCCCCGCCTGCCGGACAGTGACGTGGGCCGGGAGTTGGCGTCAAGGAGCGAAGCGCAGGAGGGCGGCGCGGGCTCGGTGACGCTGCGCGTGCGTGAGCTTTGTCCCCGCCTCGGTGTCCTGCCCCCACTTCCACCCGCCCTGGTCCTCAGAACACAGGCGTCCGGGAGCCTGGTGGGCGTAGCTTCCTGGGACTCGTCTGTGACCCTCTGCCCTGCTGCCCCCGCCCCCTCTGCCCATAAATCCTGATGATCTCCCTCCGACACAGGCGCGAAGGCGTGCTGCCCCGCGGACGGCCACCGCCCCCGCCCCAGCGTCCCCCTCCGGGCCCCGGCCCTGCTCCCCGGGGGCTGGCGGGTTCGGGCATGTGCCGGGGCCGGGGTTGTGTAGCACTGTGCTGAGCGCCCCACCTAAACCGGGGGCGGGGGCGGGGGCGGGGCAGGGGGGGGCTCGGCCTGGGCCCAGCCCTTTCCGAGAGGCAGGGGCCTCAACGGTCCTGGGTCGCCCGCGTCCTGTTTGCGGGTGTCCCTGACCTCCCTGTTCATTCCCTGCAGGGCGAAGAGACCAAGAGCCTGACCCTGGTCCTGCACCGCGACGCCGGCTCCCTCGGCTTCAACATCATCGGCGGGCGCCCCTGCGCGGTACGTGCGCTGCCGGGGGGCGGGGGGCTGCGCCCCGGCCGTGGCTCCCGTGAGGGGAGACCTGGTGGTTTACGTCGCGTCCCCACACGGGGGGTTCAGTGTGGCTGTTTCCTACGGTGTCATCGTCCTGGTGACGCGGCAGCTCGTTCCGCTGCCGCATTCGGGGTGACGCCTGCTTGTGGGGCAGGGGCGCCGCCTGGCACGGCCGGGGGGCCCGCAGCTGGGGACGGCCGTCCGGCGGGTCGTGTGCTTGGCCTCCTCCCACCGCGACTCCGGCCCACTCGCCTTAGTCCCTCCTCGGGGAGGAGGGGCCGAGCCCCTGAGGGCTTGTCTCTGCGAGGACAGGTCTGTGCCACCCCCGGGGGCCCGGGCGGGGGGCGGGGGGCAGGGCCTCAGGTCCCGGTGGGACGGCCTGAGTGTGTGTCATCTCTCGCTCGTTTCTTTTGCTGACCGTCTCATTTAATAGCCTAACAGGAAACTAGTCCAAAGGAAGAGAAAATCTAGTTGGTTTAACGAATGCGCATTGACCAGGGCTGTTTGCTGTCAGCCAGAGCTTGCGTCCCTGCGGTCAGCGAGTTTGTCCTGGGGGGGGGGGTCGGGGAAGAAGCACAGAGAACACGAGTGACCGACTGGGCCGAGTCCGGGGGCGGGCGGTGGCTCGCGGACGGTCCCGCGGTGCGAGGGGCACTCTCCCCAGCCGTCACGGCCGCCGTCCTGAGGGCCGGGGTCGACGTCGGCCAGGCCCCGCTACGGCTGCTGTTTCGACCTCTGCCCGTGAAGTACGAACGTTCTTAGTGGCATTGAGGATGGTGAATCCTTCCAGAAGCTTCTGTGGTGACTTTGCCCAAATCCACCGGAGAAGCCACTGTCCGTGGCAGCGACAGCTTTACCAAATGTGTGTCTCACGTGGTCAGACCTTGGAACGTCACAGTTGCCCTCCCCTCTGGGCCGCAGAGTGGACGCTGCGTGACCAGCACGAGCACAGCGCCGATGCCCGTGTCCGTCCCCGTCGGGGGCGGGGGCGGTCGGTCTCAGCCGTGGGCACAGGGCGCTCGGGAAGCCTTGCAGTGGACAGGCGTGTGGCCACCCAGCTTTGTGGTCCGTTCACGGATTGAAGGCCGCTGGATGCAGCACCATCCCCGAGGGCCCTGGGGCTTTCGGACGGTATGTGAGCGCTGGCTGCAGCCTCAAGTCGCGGCTCCGTGGCCCCCCCAGGAGAGCCCGCCGGTCCCCAAGGCCGCGAAGCTGCAGGGACTCCCGCCCTCCGGCTGCGGGAGCCCAGAGGGCGGCACCTGCAGATGAGGCCGTCCTGCGCGCGGAGAGCGGGACCCGCGCCGCTGCCGGTCAAGTCCGCGGTCTTCTACTGGCCTGTGGTTTCTGGCGCCCCTCACAGCCTCAGTGGGAACATCGAGGATGGCAGATCACAGATCACCACACGTGTGTGCTCGTCGTGACGCTGTGGGGACATTGAGAGAAGCACCGAAACGTGACTCGGGCAGGAGAGGCAGGTGCTGTTGGACATGCTCGGCGCACGGCGGCCGCAGGCCTCCAGTCTGTCCCGGACGCGGTGCCTGTGAAGCGCGGCGGCAGCAGCAGGCGGGAGCCGAGTGCCCGCGGGACGCGGGACGCACGCTGGGGTCCCGGACGGCGCCTCCCCGGCGGTGGCAGCGCCCAGCCTCGCGGGAGCGAGGGTCTTTGGTTCCTTCTCGTGCTTCTCCAGGCATGAGCTTCAGGTTATTTTCTTCTTCCTCTAAAAGATTAGAGATGTAAGTGCGAGCCAGGCTGAATTTGGGGGCGTTGCTCAATGTTCTCCGTTCACGGGGTCTTTCTGCGAGGACTCCCTGCGCGTCCCCCGAGGAACCCTGGGCGCCGTGTGCACGCGTTCACCGTGGCATTTTCTAAAACGTGGGTTGATGAGCAGAGAGGACGCAACAAAACCTAAATGAATCCTGCGGTGCCGCCTGGAAACGGGGCAGGGCCCCGAGGGGCCGATGGGCAGCGGTGTCAGGAGCCGCAGGTAGAACATGTGCCAGGGACACGCGTGTCCCCAGGAGTCCTCAGGAGACACTGGGTGGGCCGCGGCAGAGCCAGGCCACGACGGGCTCTGCGTGTGGTACGGACACACTTAGCGAAGCCGCGGTGTCCTCGTCCGTTCTCACAGCCCCGAGGAAGCAGCGGCCAGCCTGGGCGTCACCCGCTCCCCTAGCCCCTGGTAGGTGCCTGTTGCTGCCAGGGGCCCCCCATGTTTCTCAAGCCGGAGAAACACCACACACCGCCAGCAGCTCAGTTCGCGTGTCGCTGCGCAAGGAGGGGATGAGGAAGGGCCCAGGGCAACCCGAGCTGCCCGGGGCGTGACTGGTTTTCTTTGTCCCTCTGTCCTCGCCCCATGTGGCCTCCATTTCCCCTGAACTGTGCCGTTTGCCGTTTCTCTGGTTCTCGCGCGAACGCTCCGTTGTGCCCAGAGAAAAACGACGGGTGTTGGATGCAGTTTCTGCGACGTGAACCGAAGCCAGAGCCCCGTCCCCATCCCGCTCTCCTTCCAGCCAAGAACCGCGGAGCCGTGAGGCCAGAGCAGACACAGGCCTCTTCGACGCGAGGCGCTGACGTCACCCCTTGGGGAGCCCGGGCTTGCCCGTCAGCCTCTGTGGTCGGCGGAGGCCTTGCAGCCTCCCCGGTGGAATGTTCCGCCACCTGGAATGCTGGCCTCCGAACCCCTGTGTGTTTCGGGCGTTTCCTCAGTGGGAAGCTGCGCTCAGGGCGTGTGTGAGGGAGCAGCCTGTGCTGAGCTTGAGGCCGCCCCGCGCTGCGTTCCGCCGTGTGACCCCGGCCGGGCACGTCGCCGAACCTCGGCGGGTCGGGGGTTTCACTCACGAACGAACCACTAACAGGACGGGCCCCTGTGGCTGCTGTGAGTGCGCGTGTGACGGGCTGGGGCGTGTGTTCGCACGAGGGGCGGCCGCGCGGCTTCGACGTGTGCCTGAGGGCACCCCCAAGGGCAGGCCCCGCGGCCGGCACCGCGGCTGCGAGGGGGCCGGCACCCGCGGAAGTTCAGGGAGCGAAGGTGGCTGTGCAGCCGGCGGGGCGGGGGCGGGGGCCGGAGGTCGGGAGGTCAGGACAGCCGGTCCGGCCCCGCGCCCCGCACCCCGGCCCGTCCCTCTCGGAAGGGCCGGATGGAAGCGGATGGAACGCAGCGGCAGCTGGAGACCTGCGCCGTCCCGCGGGGGCAGCCCCGGGAAAGCGCGCGGTGCTCGTTTCCGGCTGTGACCTGGTGTCTGTGAATCACAGCGGTCACCCTGGTGCCTCGGAGAGGGCCCGGGAGGGGGGTTCCCCCTGAGTCTCTGCGAGCGGGCGGGTGTCACCGAGGTGGATCGAGTGGCGTCTGCGAGCGAGCCCCACACGGGGGGTGGGGGTTTCCGGGCACTGTCCTGCCCTCGCCTGCCGGGTGCCTCGCTTGGGAAGCAGGGGCTGTGCGTGGGGGCCACACGCCGGCACCAAGGCGCCGTGGTGCCGCCCGGAAGGAGAGACGGCCGTGAACGAGCGCGGGGACGCTTTCCGAGGAGGTGGTCAGAGCGTCCGATTTTGAGAAAAGGCCGGCGCGGAGGCCGCGAGCTCTCCTCTGCCCCAGGAAGAGCCGCCTGGACTTGGGAAGGTCTGCAGGGATCTGAGGAGACTGGGGGGCCCCTGCGTCCACGTCCGAGTATTAGGTGTCGCAGCGTTGCTCAGTGTCACTGAATTAAGTGAAAGCGCTGTCGTGGGCATTGGGAGCTGCTCAGCGTCCCGGAAGGCCCGTGCTGGGAGGACGCGGGGGACGCGCCGTCGGGGAGCCACCGTGCGGGCCCCGCGGGGCCCCTCCGCAGAACCAGCCGCACGTGCGGGCCAGGGCCTCGCCGCACGTGAGCGCTGGCAGAGGCATCCCGGGCGCGGGAGGGAGGTGTGGCAACGGCCTTGCCCCCTGGTCACACCTGGGAGGCGGGTGTTGCGCGGCCTCTGGGTGCCAGGTGGGCAGCGGGGCTGGGTGAAGCCACCCACGGTTTTCGCAGCTCAGGGAAGGGACAGGCGCGGCGTAGGGAGGCGGCCCGTCGACATGGGCCGGGGCGGACGCGTGGACGCAGACCGAGGCTCGGGGTCGGCGTGGCGGGGCCCACTCGTGCCCCCGGAGTGGGCGAAGGGTTTTCTCCGTGCCAACAGAAGCTGGAGGGACAAGCAGCTTTCCCATTGTTGCCGCTCTGGGCTGCGTGAGGCGTGGGGCCTGTGGGGCCTGGCACTCACGCGTGTTTCTTTTCATCCAAAGGACAACCAAGATGGGTCCTCCAGCGAAGGCATCTTCGTCTCCAGGATCGCGGACAGCGGGCCCGCAGCCAAGGACGGGGGCCTGCAGATTCACGACAGGATTGTCGAGGTGCGTGGACGTGGGCCAGCGGCGCCTGCGTCGGCTCCGCGACGTGCTGGGCGCGGGGCGGGGGGGCACCCCGTGGGGGCCGGGGGCAGGCGCAGCGTCTGGCCGTGCGGCCGGGGGTGACTTCCGGGGGTGACTTCCGGGGGAGCCCGGGCACGAGGGGCATGTCCACTGTGGGACACAGCCCGTGGCCGCGCGTGTCCTGCGCCGCAGCTGCGGTTCCGTGGGCAGCCCGTGGTCGGCTGAGTGCCGGGCAGCCCCGGGGGCACGTGGCGACAGCTCCGTCGGTCGCCGCGCGTGCCGTGCGGGCGTGGGTGTCACGCTGGCTTCCGGGCGCTCGCCACGGGGCCCCCAGGCGCCTTGTCCTCGGTGTTTCTGTCTTCGCTGCCTGTGGCAGCTGCACAGGCTGGTGGTCGGGGACGTGCGGGCCGAGGCTGGTGGCCGGGAGTTCCCGCGTCGTCCCTGACTCGCCCTCTGTGGGGTGGGCTTGCCCTCTGCGAGGCTCGGGGCACCCGGGCCCCGCACGGTGTTGGGGAAGAGCCACGGCGTCACGGGACGTCTGCGGGGCCGAGGGGGACGCGCCACCCTTGTCTCCTTGTGGGGCTCTTGTGCCCAAGGTCGACCTGAATGACGTTTCTCGGGCGTTTTTGACGATTTTGGCTGCTCTGCACCTGGCTGAGGCCACAGTCACGTGATGGGGACGTGGTGACAATCAGGCAGGAAAAAAATATTCACCCTCCTTTGTTGAGAGTCTGGGATGTCTTAGTGCAACACTGTCCACGGGGCACGAGCTGCTTTTTCCTCGGTGATTAAAGGTGAGTGTGAAACCGAGGAGAAAGGACGCGTTCCCTTCCTTCCAAAGGGCGGCACGGCGGTGACCGGGCCAGAGCGACGGGTTCTGCGACGGCATCGCGGTCCCCGTGGCGCAGGAAGCAGCCAGGGGCCGCAGGCGCGGGCAGGATGCAGCGCCAAGGCCGCAGCGGCGACGCCGGAGCAGGGCCTCCGCCTGGGGTGGCGCCGACTCCGCCTCCCAGCCGCAGGGAAGCCCGCAGGGGACGCGGCCCCCGACGTGCCGCGTGTGGGCGGAGGAGACTTCCCAGGTTGCTCAGCGAAGAGCTGGTTAAAAAAAAAAGGGGGCACATTTGCGCGTCTCGGGGAAAGTGGGCTCGCGCACGTCTGAGCGCGTGTCTGTGGGGACGCCCCAGGGCACCCCGGGACGTCATCACCCCCCGAGGCCCAGGGCCGATCCAGGAAGCTGCCCGCGGTGTTGAGTGCGGTGTGGAATAACCTCGTTTCTCTCCGTAAGAGACAAAAGCGGAAGCCTGGGGCGCGGTCCCTGGGCCGCGAGGGGCAGGGGACTGTCTGACCAGGGACGAAACGGCGTGTGAAGCCTGGTCCCCGGGAGCCTGGGTTCATTTGCTTGGTAGTTTAAGTAAATCTTACAGGCGCGTCTGCTGACGTCACTGGCTTTAACGTACAGGGTATTCTGTCCTCAAAGAATGAGGGATGAGCTTTTCTTTTCTCCTGTATTTTGCTGGAAAATTAAGTCCATGGAAGCGTTTGTTGTTTTTTGCCATAATTAGAACAGTAAAGGCACTGGGTAGGAACTGTTTCTGGCCTTTTGCTGTCGTTGACCCCCGTTCTAAGTGATTTTTAAAACGTGAGGCCACACAGACTTGAGAAGAGTGTGACACGGAATCGCGTGTTCCGTCTTGGGTAGCAGGATGGCGCGGGAACTGCCAGCGTGGCAGATAAGAACCGCCACAGCCGGCGTCCTGGTCGGGCGGGAGGGGGCGGCGCTGCCGTCCGGGGCCGGAGGGCGAAGGGGTCCCCTGGCGTCCGGGTGGGGCCGCGGAGCGTTGGGCGCCGAGCCGCAAGCCTCACCGAGCGGTTCTCGGGCCGCGGGTCGCGCGCCTCCTGCTTTGTTAAATGGGGGCGTCCCTCCTACGGCGACGTGCTTGACTTTGACCAGAACTAAAGGGAACTGTGTGTCGGGTGTGTACGTGGAAGCCACGTTCAGGGCTGCAGAGGCGTCAGGGAAACAAACACAGCGAGAGCTGGGGCCGGCGGCTTTCTCTGGATTCCGCCCCTTGAGGACTGACCCCGAGCCCTGCTTTCTCGGGGTTCGAGAGAGAACTCCCGTGGGTTCGACCTCAGGGCTGGGACACGTCCCAGCCTCCCAGCGTGGGTGCCGCCCGGTTCCGGGCCTGGGTGGTGGTTAGTGAAGGTTCTGGTGCTGTGAACCGAACCAGCCCTGACCTGCCCACCCGCCTGCCTGTAGATCAAGTTCACGTACAAGGTGGCGTAGCAGGCGTGTGCGTCCCGTGGGCTCTGTCCCCGGACGCCTCCGACGTGGGAGGTGGGGACATGGAACGACTTGCTCATCTTGTCACTGGCCTCGGACGCGTCACCCAGAGCCAAGCACCCGGTGCCAGGGCTCCTGGCCTTGCCCTGCCCCGGCCGCAGTAGTTTGGTCCCGCGAGGGGCGCGCAGCTCCTAGAGGCCAGGCCCTCCCCGCAGAGGGGGCTCAGCCCGTAGGCAGACGCACAGGGGTAGACACCGGGGCCACAGGCCGGGAGCCGGGGAGTCCGTCTCTGGCGAAGCTTCCTGTGGTTCCGTAAAGCCTCGGGAAACTGCTGCCGTCTTTGCGGGCCTCCGGGGGCCCCGGGCCGACCTCGGGGAGGAAAGCGGTTGGGATGGCCCGCTCGCAGACGCGTGGGGTGCTGGCCCGTGGTCACGAGGCGCGCCTCCTTTCCGCGTGCAGAACCGGCTGCGGGTCCGCTTTACCCTTCCTAATGCTGATGTCTCACCGCTGCGCTGCTTTCCCGGTCACCGAAGGGCCGCGGCCGCCCGTGTGGGCTCCTCCTGCTGCGGGGGCGTCGCCGCGCCCCCGGGCGCACAGCGGGCGCCCTTTCAGACACCGTCGGCACTCGCCCGTCTGCCGCTGGCTCGTCCAGGGCCCCGGCCTGTTGCCCGGCGGCGGCGGAGTCAGCGCAGGCGTCGAACGTGACCCGGCGTCGGCGCCCAGCCCCCGGGCTCCGCGGGGAGGGGGTGTCCCCGTGAGGTTGGCAGGCCCTTGGGGTGGGCACTCCAGCTCCGGGTTTGCCACGTCCCCAGGCCCTGGCATCCTGCCTGGGATGAGGGTTCTCCCAGTAAATATCTGCTGTCTGCTCGGAAATAGATTTTCGGGTCACGCAGCCAAGTTCTGAGGGCCAGACTGCAGAGGTCAGACATGAGAAGCACGAGAGGCAGGTGACAGTGTGTCCCGGGGTCTCGGGACATCGGACACGAGGGCAGTAGACAGGTGGAGCCGCCAGCTGTCCACACAGGAATGGCAGCGGCTTTAAATAGCGCCTCCCGGTGCGGGGTACTCAGGAGAGGGGGCTGCTTTATTTGGAAGCGAGTGAGTAAGCGTGTCTGCCACAGGGAATCAGTGAGGGAGCCCTAGTTTTGCGTTTTTTAAGACGCACGTGAAGGCGTCTGAAGACAGCCGGGAGGCCAGATTTTAAGGGTGTGCCCCGCTGGGGCCCTGCACTGCACGGAATTCCCGCTGCCTCGCTGACACCCAGGGCATGTCTCACGTAGAGGCGGGTCTCCCCTGCGCGGCAGCAGGCACCGGAGTCGCGCCCGCTTTGCCTGCACGTCTCCAGCAGCTGGTGTTTCAGCTCCTGCGGCGGAGGCTTTGCTGGCAGATTCGGGAGATTTTAGCATTGGCCACCAGCCCTCTGCTGCCTCAGCGGTTGGGTCCGGTCCTCCTGTGGGACCGTTCAGCCACGTGGAATCAGCGCTGCAGGGCTCTGGAAGGTTCCTCCGCTCCCTTCTGTTTTGAGTGTCCCAGTATCTGCTGTGAGGTCTCACACATCTCCCCGGAAATGAGGACTCTGCCTAGTGGCTTCATTAGACCAGGTGGCCAGGAAGTGGGGTCCCCAGGGCACTTCGGGAGGCCCCTCTGGAGGGAACGCTGGGAGGGCTTTGAAGAGCCTCTGGCCGCAGGCGGATGTGGGGACACCCGGGGCCACACACTTGAAGCCTGTTGCAGCGAAGACATAGATTTCACCTTTTTAAAACAATTTTATTCATCTGTCCTTAGAGAGAGGAGGAGGGAGGGAGAAAGGGGGTGAAACGCCGACCGGTTGCCTCTCACGTGCCCCCGACGGGGACTGGCCCGCAGCCCTGGCCTGTGCCCCGACGGCGCCCAGCCCGGCAGCCTGGCGCTTTGCGGGACGGCGCCCGGCCTACTGAGCCACGTCGGCCAGGGCTGATTGCATCTCCTGCCGGTTGCCTTCCTGCCAGCGTGTTCGCGACTTGTCTCCTGTGCTGAACGAGTGGGGAAAGTGACAAACCGACAGGGCGAGTCCCCCCGTCGCATTAACAGGAGGCTGAGGACCCTGTGGGTGTCAACGTCAATGCAGAAACCAGGAATTCCTTGGCAGACAGCTCCTGGCCTGTTTTCTAGGAGCGCCGTTCACAGAACACGCGAACCTGGAGCCCCGAGCTTCGGACGGTCAGACTGAGGCAGCGCCGCCGTCTCGATTTTCCCTTTGAACGCCTGAGCCAAGAACGGAGGCTGGAATTCCCTGGACGGGGGCGTTGGCTCGTGTGTTTACCTGCCAGCCGCTCGGACAGAGACGGGCTCCCTCGCAGGGCAGGCGGCCGGGGCTCCCTGTGAAAGCGTCTCTCTCCGCGTGTAGCTGCCATTGGTCTTGGCCCCCCAGGCTGGGGCCCCCCAGAGCGGCGTGCTTCCGGAGGTTTTTGTCTCCAGGCAGGACTCCGATACCCCTGAGTTAATCTTCAAACCTGGCGTGGGGGCCGCGGGGAGGAACCATGCGTAACCAGGGAGCGCGCGCTCTGCGCGGCAGCCGGGAGCCTCCCCCTTGTTCTGCCTCATTCGCAGCTCCGGCCGGTTCTGCGGCGAAAGCTTCCCAGTTCATTCACTCAGTGTGGATGCTTCTTTGGGGCTGAAGGAGGAGGTCGCCGCGGCAGCTTCCTGCGGGGGCGGCGGC